ATCGTTGAAAGTTGGGAATTCTTATTTTTGCACTTGGAAACTTTGTATCTTTTCCATTTACTGAATTTAACTTCTGGAATTTTCTAGTATTTCGCCTTCCTGTCTACTGTGCTCGGTTATAAAAGGACTGAAGGGAAATTAATTACTATTTACCCTACGGGTATCCAGGAAAGGCTTGAGTGGGAGATAAAAGAGAGAAAAATAAAATAAGAAAATATTGTGATCTTGCTCCAGTATTACAACCTGTAAGAGCTCGGGTACTTCGAAGCAGAAATAATTAAATTCCACTTTGAAGTGAAATACATTTTGAAAGTAGTTAATCAGATTTTGATTTCAAACACTAATAACATTTCCAGCATGTAGGTGGCACTGTACAGAAAAGACATCTGTAATCTGAAATGGAACTGAATGAAGGCTACACTTTGTTTCTTTTATATCTTAACTTCTTTCAAGCACTTTATAGCACATATAACCTTCTACTCTAGTGTCTCAACCACGTGGTCTGGAGTCCTCTCTCTCCAATATTCGTAATAAGGTCGCATTTATTTTCAGTACTGCATCACATTTCTCGCATCCTTTTTTATTAATATTGACTGACGCATCACACACTATTATAATATTTGACAGATGATGGTTAATTTTTTCTCGGAAATTTATTTAAGAAATTCCAGGAAAATATCCATTGTTTACATGCATGAATAGTTGTCATTGTTTCTTAAAACTCGTACATGAAATTTTAAATAAAATAATTCTAATTTGTTCGATTTGATTTCATTCCACGTAGTATTTGATGTTCTCAAGGCTGTGAGTACGAACTTGGTACTGGGTTCGATTCTGATCCAGCCCCGTCTACCTCCCATCCTCACTACTAACCTCCTAAAGTTGTTCTCTTGTCTCTTTCTCGGTCTCCCATGTGAACGTTTTCCAGGAGGTTGGCTAAGTCCATCTGTAGAATTAGTTTGTGTGTTGAGAAGAAGTGACTATTTCTATGCTAGAAATTTCGTTCTTGAGAAGCTGATAATGGCACAGCTTGTCAAAATATCCAGTGTGTTATGGAACCCGATTGTTTATTACGTGTTCACAAGAACCAGGTTCGGAGGACAGGAATCCAGTTCCACTCCCTGTTTATTTAAGACCCAGTTAACTCATTGAAGCCGAGTGGTAACAAAATGTACCACATGCTTCAACAATCAGTAACCCTTCATTTTCGTTTTATTTCTTACGATTCCAAGTGTAAATAGTGATTATTTCGTTCATCAGTATTAACCAGTTAATTTTTGTAACGGTGAAGAGGTTTTCTTTCCTGTATAGTCTGAATTCTTAAATATCATTTAGATGGGTTTCGTTCGCCTACAAAGGATGAATCAGATGTTCTGATCTGCGCAAGTGGTATTTGGAAATACTATTAATTTTCAAGTATTTATTTTTAAATTGTCTATCGTTACCTTTTGTCATCTTTTAGTCACACGTATTTATGAGTGTGTTCCCTAAAATAAACATTACGCCTAAAACTCTTTCATCGGCCACAAATAACAAATATTTCAAGTATTCCTTGTAAAATTACCTTTGAATATAATCGCTGACGGTTTTTATTTTTTCCGTTATATGCGATGCCCCTAAACATTTCGTAATTACTTTTGTAAGTACTTACACTCTTCTTACCAGAATGTAGTGACATGCAGTGTTATAGCATCAAGATGACTTCTTCGTATGGTTTGTTGTTACAGCATAATCACGAATGCAATGTGAGATTGATGAAAATGGTTATAAAAACTTCTTCGACCGCTTATCCTCGAAGTTTGGAAATGATTGGGACTTTTCAGAAGAAAAGACTGATAAAGCTACTTTTGGTTATATGAAATCCCCCCCCCCTTCTACACTGTCCCTTCTGTCCTTTATCTTACTACTTATAAAGTCTTGGGTGTATTCTGGATGATGGGAACGATTCTTACCAAAGACTTATATTGGCTGAGTTGATGAAGTCTATATTTAGTCTAAGAACTCTTGTTCCAATTTCTCCCTTCTTGGTTGCCTCTTACGCAGAAAACTTTCCAGCCCTGATATTTTATAACATGACGGAAACCATCAGAAGCAAGCCTAATCGAGAACCAGGTATGCCCTTAACCTTCTGAGCTTCCTCTTGCAAACGTCTTCATCAATACTCATCTCGCTTTCTCTCTTTTTATCTGTTCCTCTACTCACTCTTCATTCTTTAAAAATATTCCAGACATTCGTTACACAATTTGTCCTCACACCCTAAATATTCTGGTTGAGACTTCTCATGGTTCTCACGGCGGCGAGTATTAAGATGGTTTGTCTTCTGGAATTGTACGAGATTCGGCTTCTAGGCCTGGGGAATTTTGTAGCCTCAAATCAAATTTATGCCCCCCCTCCCCCATTTATAAGAGTAGTGCCTATGGCTACTTCCCCCCCTCCTCACTTTATTATCTTTTCTCTTTCTCTCTCTTTGAGGCTTCCAGTGTTTAAGTAACCCATCGACCGGAAGTTGTTGGTTGAATTGCATGAGAAACATTCCCTAATCCTTCTCCTGTAAGTCGTGAGCGGAATTGTATTATATCCATTATTATTAATATTTTAGAAACTCATTGACCTACATAGAAAGCTGCTGCTTATACATATTTTTATTGGTTTTATGTACTTCTTTAATTTGTCTCATACCGTTTGTCTTTAGTTCGATTCTCTGTAGGAAACCACAGGTTATTTTCGTTTGTTTTTTCTGCGAAAATTTGTCTCCTTTCTTTTGCCCTTTACGTCTGTATCCTTCCGCTTGAAATCGCTTAAAACGCTGAAGTAGAATTAGAGGAAAAGGGTTGATTCCTTCGCTGCACAAAGGCCATTGGCTAGAGGGTTTGTTCGTCCGTAAAAGGAACGGGCCGAATTGTACTGGGGAGGATACAATAAGAAAAAAAGCAGTTTGGCATTTCTTTTTCTCGGTTTTATTTCATTCCATCGGTGAAAGAAAGAGGATAAGGTATTTCACTTTCGCCTCTTTTAGAGAGTAATTATCACTACCTACTTTGATCCGTGTCTACGTCGAAAGTTAGTGTTAGTTCATAAAATAGCGGTAAGCAAGGACATTCTTTGTCAGAGAACATTGCACTTCAGAGTTCGAAGCAATGAGATAAATAAAAAAATGTTATGGAATTATGATTTGGTCATATTTATATATTAAAACTCTACAGAAATTATAGCCGTCTATGCTTCTCTGCGGATCCAAACGTTGGACATTAGCTGAAAAACAAATACAAATGGATGTCGTAGACATTCATTTTATCATGCAGTTCGCAGGAAGCGGAATTGCGGATTATAAACATATTGAAGATTTTTGCGAATAAACTACGATATCTAATATCAGTAGAAATAATAAATGAGGTGTGCCCCTCTAAAGCACTAAGCTCTTCTATGTAATACTAATTCACTTCCTACCTAAAATAAAAATTTGACACGTCACCATTACAAAGATCAGTTAATTAATGCTGTTGAGGGAAATAATCGCATTTTATTCTGAGAGTCCTATGAATAAAACCGATAAATAGGGCATATAGAGTTGCTTCATGATAAAACACGTGGCACATATAGTAACCACTTTGCTCTCAAAGATTAATAAAAAGTAACAGAACAAAGATAATTGTGTTTGGGATGTTGTGCCGTGTAGTCTGGTAGAAATTTACCAACGTTTCAGAGGAACTGTGTACTTTTATCAACAGGGTGACAAATTTATGTAGACTTTTCACGAATTTGTTACAATTTGTCATCAGTATTCCGTGTCCAGAACTATAGTGAATCCAGATTGAATACTTTCACATCCTGTTTGTTTTAGATCCATTTTAATATTGTTCTCCGACCTGTTATTACACCTTCTAATTGATTTTCCTCTTATGTTTTCTTATTAATGCTATGTACGGATTTTTTCGACCGTTCATGCTACATGCGTTACCCATCTTATCTGAGGCTGTATATGTAGCGAATTATAGCTATATAGAATATTAAAATTATGTATGCCTGGATTACATCTATGGCTAGTTCATCATAAACTAACGAAAACTATACAAAATGTTTTTAAGTCAAAATTAAGTTAAATTTTTTAGGCGACTGGCTGAAGACAAAAATGTATTCCTTTAAATGTTGCTTTTCCTAAATAACTGCAGTGTGGTATAAACAACATCACAAGCTATTCTGCGGCTTTGACTAACAAAATTGTTATCTACACTGTCAACGGTAATTTAGTGCTAAAAATGTCGTCTTCAGCCCAAATTAGCTTATGAATCACTTCACATCGCACAGATGAAGAAAGAATTGTGTATAGTAGTTGTTTCAGTTTTTCAAACTCTCTATATGTAACAACACATAATCCTTTGTTTTCTGTTCGGTTGTTTTAATATTTTATAGCACGTATTTTGTGTGAAACCTTGGTTTAACAATTACGTATGCAGAAGTATTATGTGCTTCTATTACATTCACGTTAATCAGAGTGTAAGTGTACAAAAGTGGCTCTCACATACTTGTGTTTTAAATACTACAAGCCATTACATTTAGCAACACAGAGAAATACGAAATAATTTCCCAGAGCAGTGTTTTTTCTGACAGGACTATTTGTGTTTGTGTGAATCGC